TGTTTTGAATATAAAGCTTGACATTGTAACATTAGAAGAACCCTCTTTGATGCTTTATGGAACCATTTTCAAAACATTAAATTACCCTCATAATTTAAACAAGGGCAAACTTTTGCTTATGACTGTATATGATATGTATCTTCATGTGTATGATATATCCAGTGCAGACACTGTTGCTCTCGCATTTGTTGATGAGAAAATTAATGAAAAATGAAAAGATAAAATCTCTCTCACATTTGAGCAATAACAAAATAATAAAATAAAATGTGATTATTATGATTAACGGCACAAATTGTTGTGATTAATCATGATTAATTATTCCGATCATTTTCCAGCCCTGACTTCTTACTTTCTCTGTCTTTCAACCCACTTTACTAAATCCATGGTTTTCTCTTCTCATGGTCTTGCTCTGTCTCCTTCTATCTACCTATTTATTTACAAAAGTTTGCGCACCCCTGGTCAAATGGCATTTTGTTTTTTTTTTGAGTGAAAAGAAGGGAACACATCCTCTAAAGAGAAGACACTTCTGCACATGGTAATACAATTACTGTTTCTTTGCTAAATTAAAAAAAAGAAAAACAGAAAATTTTATATTTTATGTTTAATTTTTTTCAACATGTTAAACTCTGCAAGTCAGTAGAAATTATGCAGTGAATTTTGCAGAGCAATGCCTCATTTGATTTTCAATGTATTTTCAAGTAAATGTAATTAAATAAAAAAATATCTCTATCAAATTTGAGCAATTGAGACGAAAAGCAATGAATTGCGATTACCTACACAAATTTGTGCAATTAATCGTGATTAATCAGAGGTTCTAACCTGTGTTTATGGCCCAAACTATGTTGTCCAGCATCTAGTATAAAGTGACTCTGCCAAAAAGAACACATAACAACAAACTTTATTCTTCCACACTCTTTAAATATGACGGGCGAGAGGGCGAGACTTTCTGTTGTACATGACTGAAAGAGAGAGAGAGAGAGATACTCAGAGCGAGAAAGGCTGTGAGTGAGCGTTTGTTTTAGAAAGAGAGAGTGAGCGAGTCACAAAGTCTGCAAATGACCTTGGGCCAAGACTGGCCCTGTGACTGAGTCACAGAAGGAAAAGAAAAAGAGAAAAGCAGAGAGAGAAGACGAGTGTAGCTCAACACGGCTTTGTAGTTTTGGGTCACACTTTACTTGAACCCTGCGACGTGACATTGACTTAACCGTGTTTTAAGCTCGTTGTTATGACAGATTTTGTTCATAGTAATTGTCATAACAGATGCCAAAATGTTTCATGACATGCTAATTGTGTACTCTATTAGCAGTCATGACAGCAAACATTATGGCATCTGTCATGGCAATAAGCAGTAATGGTACTATGACACTGTTATATTACTGAACAAAATCTGATATAACAGCATATGACATCTGTAATGGCGTGTTTATGACATGGTCGTTTTCGATGTTATGTAGCAGGGTTCAAGTGTTACCCAAAAATTTGCATGTGACATAAGATACCAAAACATCAAACTCGATACTTCTATGATGATTAAGACTGGCTTTACACAGTGAAACTTTCATGCAACTTTGGTTGCATGAAACCTACATGAAACTAAATTGACATTGTAACAACTGCAACTCATTTGAACAGGTCTCAACTTCGTGAAGCAAGTTTCATCAAACAGCCAATCAATTCAGCATAGAAAAAATGATAATAAAAACTAGCCAGCTGATGGTAACAGCTGTTTGTTCCAGCTCCGCTGTGTGATTTATGTGATTTTACTAGATGCATTTTATCCTCACTTGACGGCCTTAATTTTACACAGAGCCCAGATTCATTTGGGATCTAAAGGATGGAAATTATTACAGAAGGGGAGATCAACACGGTCCGTGATGAACTTAATATGCTTCTAGGACAGGATGAGCATGTCATCGGGTAGACTATAACAGCAATGGCTAATTAAACATAAAAATATAAATGATAGATATATGGATATTAAAATAAAAACATCAGTGACAGAAAAAATAAATGAAGACTGTTATGTAGCACAGAAATTATGATGCAGGCAACTCACAACATGTAACTAGTGAATGCTTTTACTATGTAAAGCCAGCCCAGCAATAGTAACATGACACTGTTAGATTACTGCACGTCTGCCACAAAATGTTTATGGCATGACTATGTCGATGTTATGGAGTAGGGTTCAAATAAGGTGTTACCCAAAAATTAGCATGTGACATAAGCTGCCAAAACACCAAAGTTTTAGCAACTGTCATGATAAATAAGGCTGGCTTTACACTGTAAAATTTTCACCCTGCTATGGTTGCTTGAAACCTACATGAAACTAAATTGCGTTCTCAACTTGCATGAAGCTCCGTTGCACAGGTCTCACTTCGTGAAGCAAGTTTCATGAAACAGCCAGTCAAAAACGGCAAAAACGCATCACATGATTATGTGGAATGACACACTTTCAAAAAGCAATTTCACAGGATCAGTGGACAAGAAAATAAAACAGAGGATGGTTTATTTGGGTGGTTTTAAATGATCGACATTGGTAGGTTTTCATTTGTTTTCAGTTTTCTGAGCCATAATGACAAACCTGAGTTCCTCTATGCTAACATTTCCGTAAACATCTGCGTTGACTAGCCGGCTGATGCTGACAGCTGTTTGTGGTAGTGTTTATTCTTCATTGTTAGCCAGCTGTAAGTGGGATTTATGTGATTTTGCTAGATGGATTTTCTTCTCGCTTGACTCCCCCTAAATTTACACAAGGCTCGGATTCATTTGGGATCCAGAGGGTGAACATTTTTACAGAAGAGGAGAAGAAGACGTGGTCCATGATGAACTTATTATGATTCTAGGACAGGATGAGCGTGACATCAGGTAGGTTATAAAAGTAATGGCTACTTGACATGCACTTTTTGAACAGATATGAAAGAATCATGAATAAATACATGACAGATTATATAGATATTTAAATAAAGATCAAAGACATCTGAAAAAAATACGCAGATGAAAAAAAGAAAACATTGATTTTGAAGCAACTGTGAAGTTGCATGTCAATTATGACGCAGGCAACTCACAGCATGCAACTAGTGAAAGCTTTACTAAGTAAAGCCAGCCAAGCAATGGTAACATGACACTGATGTTACTGGACATAATCTGTCATGACAACCCGGGACTGCGTATGACATGTTTATGGCACGGTTATGTCAATGTTATGTAGCAGGGTTCTAAAGTGCTACCAAGTATTGTTTATTTAGGTGCATTTAAATGTAAATCCATCAGTGAATGACAGCAGCCCACCCAGCAACAGACTCTACTGACCTCATCAGTCAGACACTAAACCAGACACTCAAGTAACAAGCAACACTGCTAAAGATTTGTTGCTAACTACGGTTCCTTCTAGACTGACATATCTGAGCCTATTACTGTCTGTCTTATTATAACTCATGCACATACCAGTAAGGTTCTCACTGGTATCTTTATCACTGGACTGATAGAGAGCCTTTTACTGTCTGCCTCACACAGAAACAATGTTTCGATGCTTGACCTCGGCTGGTCTCCCAAACAAAACAGTGGTCAAGTCAAAAAACGTTTCAATGCACATTTCAAATGGGAACTTAGGCCAGTACAAGCCTGCATATGCAACTCTATAGGAATACACATCAGCACATATGGCTATTCTAGTCTATAGCATTTGACTAGCTGACCACTGGTCCAAATAACTGGTCTGCTATTAAATCTACTTTACAACCAGTGCCATTTTGATGTACAGTGCTGTGCAAATGTCAGAGACCAGTCCTTGTTCCATTACCAGTCAAAACAGCCTTTAAGTACAAGTTCTTCATGAGATATTTCTGAAGAGGTAAGATAATCCACTTGGATAAGGAAGATGATAAGTGGGCCCTCCAAACTGCCCCCATCGGATAACAGTACTTTCATCTTTGAGACAGAGAAGAAACTCAAGCCCCAGATCTGAAAACATCAACAAGTGTTTCTGTCCAAAAAAAGACATTTGCAAATCAAGCAAAGAGGCTTCTGGTGTTTACAGAACAATGGACTGACCACACCAGAATCCAGACCACAACAACACTGAATGTGTTTGGATTACTTGGATTGTGAGAAGCAGAAAATGCAACCAACTTCTAAGACTGAACTGTGGAGGTGTGGAAAAACTGAAAGCAAGCCTCCTTAAAATAATGAAGGCCGAAAATATTGACCCAAAAACATATCGCTGCTGTAGGAACAGAACCTCGTATCTCCATTTTTGACGTTTTTCAGTTATTGACATAATTTGAAAATACCTGTGTCCCTTTACATTGTGTGTCAACTTCATGAGGACAAGACCAAAAGAAATGACCCAAAATGACCTGGAAAAAGGTCTGGTTCCATTGACTTACATTAAAAGTACATATATATATATATATATATATATATATATATATATATATATATATATATATAATATATATATATAGTCAATGCTTCTGTTTAATTTTCTGTTACACTGAAAAACAAATAACTTGTACTTAATCATTAAATGACTAGTGCCCACTAGAGGACCCACACCTCTATAACTTATGACTAGCTCAACCAGTTTGCATTGAAGTCCCTGTAGTTACTGAATAATAAGCCTTAATATGTAATAAGCGCAGGATTTTGAGGGTTTACTGTCTGTTTTGACACGGGTGGTTTCTGACTTTTGCACAGTATCGTGTACTACTCTATATCAATAGAAATGTATATATTACTTTACAAATAGCATCATTTGTGATATACAATATGCAATACCATAGTAATAACTATATTATATATAGTTATAACTACACAAACAGCATCATTTGTCATATACAGTATACTTTAGCATTGTAATATGAATGTGTATATATAACTGTACAACTATCAATATATATTACACCATAATACTAAAAAACATGCATATATCAGTAAACAAACAGCACCATACAGTATATAATAGCATTAAGGCATCAGTTTCAAAGACAGACATATCTTACCTTGCTGTTGACTGTTATGACACTTTGCTTACGTCCAGTCCAGTCCAGTTTAAGTCCAAGCTTGTTCTTTCCACACACACTCACTCTCACTCACTCACACACTCACTCACACACACTCTCTCTCACACACTTTTCATGGAGATGAGATCAGACTGGAGCCAAACAGCAGCCGTGCTGTGCAAGAGGAGAGCATGTGATTCTGTCTGTCTCTACACACACTCTCTCTCTCTTTCTCACACTCTTTCTTCCCCCCTCCTCTTTCTCCCTTTCTGTCACTCCCCCTCTTTTTCTCCGCCTCTTTTCCTTCCTCTCTCGCCCTGCCCCTCCCCTCGTTTCCTCTCTTTCACTCCATCAGTGGCTCTGTCCCCCTCTTTTGTCCTTCTCTGTCTGCTAACAAACACAGCACTATGACCTCATCAGTCTCTGTATACTGGGCAGTATTAGTACAGTACTGGACAGAGACCACCCTGCATTTATTTGATTTCCAGTCAAAACCTCCATTAAGGACAAGTTACTCTTTTTCAGCACCAGGAAAAAGCAGAACACTTATATTTAACTGAAAATAACACAGAAGCCCCAACAACTACATATTTATAAAGTGTTTATTGTGTCCACTCTCTGCCTTTATTACAGCTTCCATTCTTTTCAGGAGACGTGCTTTCAGTTTTTCAAAGAACACTGCAGGGATATTTTCTCCACACCTCCAAAGTTCAGTCTTAGAAGTTGGTTAGATTTTCTGCTTCTCACCATTCAAGAAATCTCAAACACATTCAGTGATGCTGAAGTCAACATCTTTGTGGTTTTATTCGAGAAATGCTCAGATTAGGTGTGTATTTCCTTCCAAAGATGAAAGCTAAAGCATTGTTTATCTGATGGTTGCACTTTTTTGGTCCACCAGGTCTTGCGTGGTTGTTAGGGGTCTCGTTTTCGATCTTTAAATAAGCCCAATTTTTGAAACTTTGTTTTTCACTTATTTTGCTTTTCTTTTATGAGCTCCACCCACACTAAGCAGCATAGGCCAGCATGGCTGGTCATCAGCATATGTTGTGTTTTTTGTGCTGGTCAGCAGCAAGTGAAGTTAATATGCTGGTCACTAGCATATATATATTTAAAATTTTATAAAGTTTATAACTAGTACCTCTAAATGCATTTATAGTGTAGTTCACTTTATACAATTAACTTTAAGCATACGTTGTTTTTACAAGGGTCTGTAAGTTTCTCTACACCAAACTCTTCTCTCAAAACTATCGTAAACCAATGTCTCAGGCAGCATATTTGTAAGCATTTCATGGAATAACTACCTGTGAGCTTTTAGAGGCGTTAAACTCTTCAGACGTTTGGTTCCTATCACCACCACTGTAAACAATTATACAAGTAAATCATACCAAACCTCTTTGAATGACTTTGTTCACATCTTCACCATTTAATTTTGTAGACATTTTGAAAAAAAATTGAAAAAAATCCTCCGTAAAAAAAAAGGACACTAATAAAAACTGGAAGCAATAGGGGCCCATGTCTCAAAGATGACCAGGGAGACTACTATAAGCACTCTGAGCGAATGACGGCTATTGTTTTTCAGTTACTCATTAAACCTGATGGTCCACTTTAGGTCTTCCAAGTAAATAATAAACTACAATTACTCTGAATACTCACACATTCTTCAGCAGGTGTCCTGAAAAAGCTACTAAATAGACCAAACGATGCCTCTTATATTGACCCCAAACCTGTAGATAAAGGTTATGGGTGTTTGGAATAGCAGAAGGCCCAGCGTTTGTATTACGGGTCAGCGAGCAGCCGGTATGCTGGGTCAGGAGCATGATTGGACCCTGGCATCTGGCATGCTGAGGTGTTAAACTGGAAGTAATGCTGGTTACGGCACCTGTGGAAAAAGTTCCCATGCGCTCACCCAGGCACAAACACTCCCTCAGCAGGATGTGCGAGTGGCTGAGAAAACAAAGCAGGTTACAGGAGGATGCAGGGTGAGCTCTGATATGACCAACACTCAGTCCATTCCCTCTTTATCAGAGACCCCTTCCTTCTATTTGCATTCAGTGGCCACTTTATGAGCCACACTGTATTGAAGTACAATCACAGACTCAACGGCCGCTGCACTATTGGTTCATACCTCATTCATCAATGGTCAGTTTGCGATCACAGAACCACTGTTGGCCAGATATTACTTGGGTAATGGATCATTCTCAGTGTATCAATGACACTGACAGGCATCTGGTAGGAGTAGTGGGCTACAGTCGCTAACCGTACATCAGTAAGATCGGGGTTTCCAATAAAGTGGCCAGTTTCTTTAGAATGTGTCTCGTTCCATAATAATACATTCTGCAATATGTAGAAGCATCAACAGTTCCTGCCGCTATATAAAGTCTTATAATCAAAGCTTTGAGGGTTTCTCATTACTTAAAAAGAATCATGGGTCTTTTTGTATTTCCATCTAATTAAATGGTTGAGATGTAAACAAAGTAATTCAGAGTGATTTAGTGTGAAATGCTTCTTTATAGAGAAACTTACCGAGTCAGAATTGTTCACAGTTGTGATAGGAACCAGATCCTAAAAACTCACTGAATGTTATTACATGGGATGGTTCTGAATGTGCTGCCTGACCACTGAGACAATGAGTGCGTTTACATACACTTAATAATCTGATAACTGCAGAAATTCAGATTTTGTCAGTAATTCGATGAACACTTTTACATGCTCTAGGGTAATCAAGTAATGGGAAAACTCTGGGTCTATGAGTCGGACAGTAATCAGATTTCTGCTTTACAACCAGCCAATAAAGACATGTCATAAACTCAAACTTCATGCAGCAGCTTTTTTTAAAACATCGCGCCACTTTACCTGAAAATATGAACATACATCATCTAGAAGATAAAGAATATTTAAATCCTTCATTTCGTCAAGCATGTATTTGGTTTCAGCATCACTCCGAATGTGTTTTGCAGCAACGCTACTCACTTATTTCTGGTGCCGTCAACTGTTTTCACACATGCGCAGACTGAGAAATCTGAAAGGAATCAGAGTAAGAGTTTACATGCACTGAGAAATCTGATTACTGAGCTAAAATCCAGGATTTCTCCCATCTAAGAAATCAGAGTATGCTGTTTACACAACTGTTGAATAATCAGATAACTGCAGAGATCAGATTATTGAGTGCCTATAAATGCAGTCACTGTGTTCCTGCAGCTTTGAGAAGGTTTCGGCCTCTAAAACAAACCCGGATCCAAAGGTAATTTTTCAGATTTACCACTATTTACCATTATCAACAATACATACGACACTCAGAAGACATGTAGGATCAGAATATGTGTGTCTGACTATCTGCTGCGATGGACTGGCGACCTGTCCAGGGTGCATCCTGCCTCCTGCCCATTGACAGCTGGGATAGGCTCCAGCACCCCACCGCGACCCATAAGGATAAGCGGTTTAGATGATGTGTGTGTGTGTGTGTGTGTAGGATCACTGGTGGTTTTAGATAGTAAATAAGATGACTATATTTGTGTTGTAGACATCTCAATGACTGAATTATGCAAAATTATATAATTATATAATTCCCATTTAAGTACTTACATAATAATTTACTTTTATGTTTGATTTGCATATCGTCGCTGTCCAATCAAAAACATGTATCTTCATTTTTTTCATGATGATTGGACCAATAGAAATGCTCCAAAATTGCTTAGAATACAAACGTTTTCTATTAATTTACATTGAAAGTAAAGACGGTTTTTGCCCTCTCCTGTAAAGTTACTTTTTTGTAGATACTTATTTTTCACTGGACAGCAATGATGAGCAATAAAGGGAAATTCCACCAATTCACAAGTGATGTGTGTAGAACAGTGCAACCAAAAACAGGCTTGTGCTATTTACCTCCAATAAATAGGTGCACTTGTGTTATAATAACAATAATAATCACATTCCTCGACACTGAAGGCATCAATAATACAAGTTTAAAGTTTACTTGCTGAATATTTCATAAAGTTCAGTGATGACTGACCAAAAAGATCAGGTCAGCAGTGGTCCTGTGGTCAGAAACACATATAGGTGCACTGGTGGTTTTGGATAGTAAATAAAATGTCTATATTTGTGTTCCTATCACCACCACTGTAAAGAAATCAGAGCCTGTAAGTTTCTCTACAAATGAACAACTTCACCTCAAACCACTCACCTCAATCACTGAATGAATTCAAAATTTTAAAAAAGTGGTGGAATTCCCCTTCAAAGCGTAATCAAATGTATCAGTATTAAAATAACTGTGAGTCGCAAAGAAGCCTGTGTAAATATCACAATTTGTGATTTATTAAAAGAGTTTTAATATACATTATATGGATAATCATACAAGAGCTATTTATTCATGTACAAATTACAAATACATAAACTGTTTATCAAACTCTTCAGTTTAAATGTACAAAATAAAAGAAAAAAAAAATCCCACGGCTGTTTCATAGCAGCAGCTTTGCAACCTGGCAAGACTTTTTCGCCATCGCGGTCGAAGGCAGTGAACGGTTTTTCGGTTCTAAAAAAATGATGGAAAAAAAACAGATAAAGGCACTTCATTTATTCTTACGCTCTGAGTTTCTCTTTTTTTTGGCAGAAAGAATACAGACATTTCAGCAGAGGGAAAAGTGGGCCAAATTTATCAAGACTTGCAGAGGGAGAAATCTGACCTGGAGTCGGTTTTTACCGTTAAACACAACGTCTAATTCCAGGTCAGGTTTCTTTCTCCAGAAGCTGATAAATATGGAACTATGCCTGTTCCACAGGGCAGACGAACACGTAGGAAATACAAAAAAGGATTGTTGTCCCAGACACAGAAGTAGCTCGCTTTTATCATTAATACAAAAGACCTAGTTTAAAAAAAGCTTATTTCAATTACGACGTGTTAATGCAAAAAAAACAGACATTCTGTTCTGTGTGTGTGTGAATGTGTGTTATACTCTGATATGCACTGTTATTAAAGATCAAGTGACATGGTGCGAGAGAAAGGGTCAAGAGAAGATAAGAACGAAGTGCTAGAAGAAAAGCAAGGTGAGAGAAAGCAAAAACGATGGATGAACGAGTGGAGCCAGACAGAGAGAGAGAGGAGAAGGACGAGAAGAGAAGAGGAAGGCTCACGCGGCCTCTCCGCCGTGGTGGCGTCTCGGACTGGGTAAATAAAGCAGATTATCCCCCAGCTGTCAGTTCATAGGGTTTGTCGTTTTCGTGCCCGAAGAACAAAAATTCCTCAGAGCACATTTAAAAAACTCCTTCTAAATTTAATAACAGACGATGACAAAATAAACCAAACTTACATAGACAGACAATAAAAACGTACAATTTTATACAGTTCTGTTTTTCTCTCGCCGTCGCACCATAAGATAGCATGTTAAATTTATCTTCATCTCAAGTAAGAAATTTTTGTTGCTGTTTTGTTTTTGTGATTTTTTATAAGTCATACAGTGCAGAGTATATGGGCTTTGATTAAATAAGAGTGTTTGTAGTGTTTGTGGCGCCCTCTGCTGGTCACTCGGTCGCAGTGCGGACTGCGGGCGCTGCACTCTGCTGGCTGGGGACGCAGTAGTTGGGCTGGTCAGACTGCGTGTAGCCGGGAAGGCACTGGCATTTATACGAGCCCGGTGTGTTGATGCACTTGGCGTTTTTGCACAGTGACATGCGCTTGTTGAGTTCTGAGCATTCGTTCACATCTGGAAGAAAAAAGTGCATGACTTGAGAAAGCAATTGTGAAGGCTATAGTACAAAAAAACTGACCTATATATTTAGCTATATAGCATAAAATATATAATATACAGGTTACATCTGTATGTACACATATGTAACATTATATACATATACACACACAGTGTACACAATGGTAGACCTCTGTCTAATATATGCAACAAAAAATGTCTGATTAGCACATACTGAAGTATTTGCAAATAACTAGTTCACGAGATTTTTAACAACATATGGAACTTGTTTCAGAAATTTTTGGAGGATATTGAGTCAGCACCTTGATATTCCACCTGTGAATATGTTGAGTATATTTACAATATTATATATAATATTATTATATTATTATTATTATTATTATTATTATTATTATACAATATTTAAGTTGTTATTATTATTCTAGTTTATTTTTTCTTTTATTAGTTTTTATGCAAAAGTCACACTATGTTTCATGATTTTGCATCTGTAAAATACAGGACAACTGTACATTTGGCAATAACGACATTCTGAGTGGACGTCAGATGGCAGGAAGTTTGGGGAAGGGGTGAGATGTTCAGATGTAATTTGACTTGAATGTACAAATACTTTATACACACACACACACAAATATATATATATATATATATATATATATATATTTATACACACACACACATATAGATAGATATATACATACATAAATGGACCAATTGAAATGCTCCAAAAATCACTTGGATTAAAACTTTTTACTTACTTTAACTTACATTAGCAGTCAAGGACATTTTTGCCTTCTCCTGCAAAGTTACTATTTCAGAGATACTTGTTTTTCTTATGACAGTAATGATATATGCAAAAGTTTGAACAAATTTTGTTTATTTTCTTTGTGAAAATAAGTTACACATCCACTACAGAGAAATTAAATATGGCATTTTTCTGCTAATTTTAGCGCACAATTTCTATTTTTCTGAGTTTAACAAATTGGAAAAAAACATCAAAAAATAAACAAATAAAGTATAGAAAATCAAATGTGTCATAACTTTTACACAGACTGCATTTTGTGTTCTTTTTTTTTAAGTTAATAATAAGTCATGATATGGTAAGGGATTCACCTTTGGACTCTAATATATGTTACACCTCTGCACATTTTAACACACAATTCCTGCTTATTTGATGAATAAACATATTTGACAAAAGGAAAACATTAAATGTGTGCAAAAGTTCAGAATAAGTTCAAACCACAGTCCCACAGTAAATAAAGTATTTAATAAAACAATTAAGCATTAAGACTTTATATATTTACAATTTCATTATGATCTATTTAAACCTATTTATACTGTCTATTTGCAGATGTCTGTCCCAAACCCAAACCCCTAAATTTACACCTGCGAAAATAATGCATATCCTTTTTATTTCTTTTAAAGTGAAGTTGAAAGATTTAGATTCATCATGAATTTAATATTATTCTAAAAAACCTATTCAAAAAATGCTGTCTCACGTTTTTATGTCAGTACAGAAACACCAAGAGTTTTAGTCCATAGGCGGAGCCTTATTTTAGCCACACCCTGCATTTTAGAGCAGGAAGCAGGGCTGCATCCCTGCCCCTCATGGCCACATGATGAGCAGATAGAGCTCATTGTTTTGAAGTAAATGTGTCCAAACGTCTGAAAATCGGTGGGTAACATTAAGAACTGTCACGACTGAATCACAGATTTTCTGCAATAAAGTAAACCTTCTATGTTTTAATTAAAATATGATGATCTTCTGTGTGTACAGCTGTTCAAAGCTGTGTTAGCGAGTCATGTACTGGCTAGCGTTTTTGAGTTCTAACTAAAACTGTCCGTACCAAACCCCTGTAAAGTACCCTAGAACTGCTGAGCTCAGTTCTGTCTCTAGAGCGTTTTCACTTACCGACGCAGGCCATTCGAGACAGGTCGAGTGTGTATCCATCAAAGCAGTCGCAGGTGTAGCCCTCCTGCACCCTCACACAGCGTCCGTTCTCACAGCCGTTCAGCACACCGCACTCCTCGGCCCGCAAGCCTTCAAACGCATCATACCGACCAGCTGGGGGCAGAACAGATTCAGTTATTAAATTAATTTGTTAAATATTAACCATAAACAGTTTAATATTAGACACTGTTAACAGAACGGTTTCTCCACTCAGCCTAGATGGAGTTGAATGGATGTTTGGTGTCCAAATTCTGCTTCTTTAGTTTAACGTTGGAGCTACGATGCCAACGTCGCTAATACCAGAATTCAATAGTCACCCAAATTTTTTCTGCAAATACATCCTCAAAACTTCTCTCAGCCTCTCAGCTTCTCAGCTTCTCTCATCCAGGTCTTTATTAAGGTTGCACAGACTTGCTGATGTGGTTTAGGACACAGTGTGATTCATGACAGTGGAGCTGAATGCTGTGGTCAGCCAATTTAGACATGGGTGTTGTGCCAAATTTTGATTCTTCTTAGCCTGCCTACACACACTGATTACACTTACAGTTTCTGGCAATTCTTGCATTAAATGTTACTCTTACATGTTCAAACTGAAGATATGGGTCATTCTACAGAAACGTCCACTTTTGTGTCCCTAGTGTTTACAGATATATTACACTTGAAAAACATGTTAGGTTTACAGTTTATTTATATTTTAAAATAAAACACTGTTATTTTAACAATTACACCTTCTTGAGCCTCAATTTCGCAATATTAGTTTTTAAATCAGTTATCTAGAATTCCAAGCGCCACAGAAGAGCTCATCCCCACAGTCATGTGTGAAGGCTGAGGCCATATTTTGAAGAAAAAAAAACACGTTTTTCTGCAATTTTAACTTCAATAATCTACACATGAATATGGAATTACATGAATAAATTAAATGACAAAGAAAATAAATGCCAAATAAATATTATAAAATATATAATGAAAGTTGTCAACCCCAGGAGTCGTGTCACTGGTGTTACCGCATAACAAAAAATCTCTTATTTTGAAACGAAAATCACACTGATGACATCACTCGACTTCCTTTTACCTGTTTTCTGAGGATCTATGAAGAAAAGCACATGGTGAGTCCACTGTGTCTTTCAGTTATCAGAGATTTTCTCATTTAGCTCATGATTTCATATGAAGCTTTTAGCTGAAGTTACTGGTGTGACCGACTTTATTCTGAGGTAATTGTGAAAAAACAGAAAACAAACGGATTAAATGACATATTTTAGTGGATATTCCATGATTGACAACATGTGGTTTGATGCTCTGTAGCAGATATTTTGTAAAACGCATTGTTCATTAAAAATGTCTCTGGTGTTTCCTTTATTATGTGTAACACCAATGAGGATCGGTAACACCAGTGACTCCTATGGAGAGACGGAAAAGTGGACGTTCCTGTAGAATGACCCATATACATTCATAAATACAAACGGCAGAAATCAATAGCATTGATCAGAGCACCTGTTGTCTAAGGAGGCTGCTTGCAGTGCTCGGCTACACTGTGAGGTTTAGCTATCTTTTAAAGCTCACAGTAACTTAAACTGTGTCCTAAACCACATTGACAAGTCTGCATGACCATAATGAGGACCTGGATACAGTTTCTGGCAGGTTAAGAGAGGTTCTGGGGATGTTTGTACGAAAAAGATTTGGGTGACTCTTGACCTGATTTCTTAGCTACATTAGCCTTGTAGCTCCAGTGCTAAACCAAAGAAGCAAAATTTAGACACCAACATGTCTTGGCTGATCAACCATATCTGGGATAACTAGAAAACCTGTGCACATTTGATTTTTGCCAAACCGTTCCTTTAAACGTCAAAGATAAATTGCTTTATAAATACAAACAAACATTTTCTAAACCGCTTATCCTTTTGGGTCATGGGTGGTGCTGGAGCCTATCTCAGCGGTCCCTGGGCGGTAGGCAGGAAACACCCTGGACGGGTTGCCAGTCCATCGCAAGGCAAACACACAGACATATACAATCACACACACCTAGGGTCAATTTAGCGTGTCCAACTGTCCTCACTGCATGTCTTTGGAGTGTGGGAGGAAACGACCCTGGTCGCCCAGCTGGGGAACTGAACCCAGGCCCTTCTTGCTGTGAGGTGACAGCACCACCATGTCGCCCCACTTCATCAATAATGCTTGTCAAATCTTACAAAATGTCCCTATCTTAAAAAATACTCTTAATAAATGAGCATGTTTTCTCTGTTGCTTGCAACATTAAATAAAACACTACTGTAAAAGTATTCTTATCAAACAGGTACAAGAAGTACGGAAAAGGCTGTTACAGCACGGTCTGCTATTCTGACCTAATAAATTCACTTCAGTTTTATTTATATAGCACTTTACAACCAAAGCAGCGTTGCAGAAATGTGGTTTCAGGCCCTTAAAGGGGAATTCCAAAGATTTTTCAAAATTTCAAAAAAAATATTTTAAAATCTTACCACAAAACTTTCGTAAAAAACAATATCTCAGGCATCAGGCAGCGTATTTGTAACCATTTCATGTAATTACTTCCTGTGGGGGAGCTTTTAGATGCATTAAACTCCTTAGATGTCTGGTTCCTATCTGCACTGTGAACAATTCTGACTCAGTAGGCTTCTCCAGAATGGAGCGCTTCACATCAAAACACTCTGAATGACTTTGGTTACATCTTACATCCATTTAACTACACAGAATAATTTTAAAATAGGTGGAATTCTCCTTTAATTGGCAAGCTGAGGTCCATCAGTGTCAGGAAAGAAGAAAGGAACCAAGACTGAAAAGGGCGAACCCATCCTCCTCTGGGCTAAGTTATGACACCCATGACCACATGATGGCAGCAGAATGCTGCGCATAGCTGAAGCCTGATTTGCATCCGTTTCGTCTTAAGAGAATGTTTCACACAAAGATGCTACTATTACGAAAAATCTGTATAAATCAGACCTTTGCAATAATCAACTGTGATTATGCTAACTTTAATTACCATAATTACCATTTATCACCCTCTTTTTTTAGCATTCGTTCAGGTGCAAACCCCAACTGCCAGGCATGGACTCGTATCTCCGAAAGCTGTTTAAGTCTTCTCCTTCTTGGGAAGAGGCAGAATATTTCGGATATGTGTGTCATTTTATTCAAGCCAATCACATAGCTGCATAGCAATGACCCAAAAACAGCGGCCGGGCAATTTTACACGTGAAGAGGGTTTGAATCTGTGCCACTGTGTCAAAGACAATTGGATTCTGCTGCCTTCTGTTTCAGTTCTAGATGACAGCTTCTAGTATCGCTGTGGAACTCATTATAGTTGGAACAGAGAGCGTTGAAGTAATATAGATGCAGTTACCACTGTGCAGTAAGCTTCTCAGAGCCTTAAAGGAACACAGAGTAGTATGGTGGATTATTAGAGACAATAGTTTTGACAAGTTTCCCTGCAATTAATAAAAGAACAGAAACGCTCTTGACTCACACTTCAACAGAACTCAATGGAGTTCTTCAGTTAGGTTTAGAGTCAATGGGTTTGGAGTTTTCCAGCAACAATTTCTATGAATGTCACCTTTGTAAGGATCTATAAACACATTCATAACATGTTATAATGCATTCATAAGGCATTATAAACATAGCTATAAATATTTATAAAAATGCATTATACGTTATAGCCATGTTTATTATGCATTATGAATTGTTGACATAATACATTATAAGTACTGATCATAACAAATTATAAGAGCTCATAAGTCGTATTTGCCCGCTCTAAGTAAAGTGAATCGTACTGTACTAAAGCCTCCTCCAGTGTTCAGAGTGAGGCTTCAAGTTGAAGTATTTACTGAAGGATTTACTGAAACACTAAAACATTCACAGTAAAGCACATTACAGGCTTCAAATGTCAGAGTTTAAACTAGAGCTGCCATCAGAGGGGGGAAGGGGGAAAGGGGGGAAAGGGGGGATAAGAGGGACATAGTTAGGAAAACAATCTGATGAAGACCCCTGTTTGGGGTACCTGTGGGTTCGTACACTCAATGTAAGTTTGCTGTTGTTTAATTGAAAGTATATTCTGCCAATCTTTGTGTATGTTCTATTCATGTGAAGTTTTGTGCTGTTTTCTTTTTCTTCTTGTTTGTTTTTGTTTTGTTTCTTTCTCTTGTTGCTCACCTTTCCAACAACTGGCGTTTATCATATGGACCCTGGGGATAAGCTCAACACACAATTCGTTTGGACTCAGCTTTCATCTTTACATTTGGCTCACATCGACTCAGAACGGGGACCACTGCAATTCGGACTTTCCCTCAACTTCAAGATATACAGGATTCATAGACTGGACTAGGATAAAGAATAGAGTCAAAGGACAATTACCCCAGTGAGAGCTATCCAATTCTTTTGCTTTTAAGGACCCAAAGACTGAATAAACTTGTGGAACGATATTGAGAAAGGACTAGCTGAGCTATAATGTTGTATATATTGTGTTATTTGCTCTCCTTGTTTGTTTTTATTTGGTTTTGATGCACAGGGTACAGTAAACAGGTTAAAACACTCTTAGTGGATGGTAATCCCCTTTTTAAAAAAAAAAAATTCTGATAACGTGTTTACAAAGCCGTAACCGTTACACATTTACTGTGGATACAGCCGTTTTGGAGCAGCTACTAGCCTCTCTTTGAGAGTTACCTCCTCACGTAGTTAAATCAGTGTCAGCTACAGCAAAAGCTTGGCTGTTTCAACTCATCTTCTGTCAATCAAGTGCTTAGTAACAAAGCAAGGAACTGTAAAACTGCATCAAGACTTCACAGTACCGAATGTATTGCTATTCCCATCAGTGCATCCGACCACCAGATTGTGTCCGGACAGTAACTAGGTACCAGATTGTAAAGAAAATCAGTGGCATCACACATCACTACTTTGTGCCATGATGCTTTATTTGCATCCACCCGTCTTTGACTTCATGAGCACCAGGAGCTGCTTTCTCCACTTCTGGACAATGGAGAAAGAGGAGAGGGATATGGGAATGGCCAGGACTTGCTTTACTCACTGGTAGGGTTTGCGTAGTCCTCATAGAAGGAAGGTTCAGGGTCGATGGGTCGCTGCTCATACTCAGTTCTGGCCTCGTACTCGTGGACAGGAGCAGCAACTAGAGCATCACGGCCATACGGCCGTCTACCGGCAACGGCGCCCCGGATGTTACACATGGTGACGTAGTCCGCTAGAGAAGAGATGGAGGGTGAAAGGGTGAGAGGCAGCAGGAATGGAGAGAGGTAGAGAGAAAGGAAGCGGAGATAAAGTGAGGGAAATGTAGTGGCTGTAAGGTAAAATGAGGCAATTCCACTTTTATTATTGGTTTCCCCTCCTTATTTCAGGCCTCTGCATCAAACATATGCAACGCCAGTGATCACTTGCTAACAGAAGAGTGGGGTGCAAAAATTTAAAAAATGTAATGAACTAACCTCTCAAACCCGTCAAATTATCCTGTGTGATTAACTACTGAACATTTTTTAATGATAGTTAATTTAATAATCCACAATGGGGATTGCTTTCTCATAGGTAGTAATGATTTAAAATGATAAGAAATTAATAAACAGAAATTGGAATTTTCCCCCCTTTTCATTTTGAATGAATGAGCATTTTGCTCCATTATCTGAGACTCCGGTCATGGTTATACTCCTTTAACACATGCTGCAGAGGAAAAGGCCTTTAAAGCAGCATTGTTCGTTCTTATTTATAGTTCAGCGTTTAGTTATTGTGAGATCTTTCAACACAGCTCTATTTTATTTTTTTCTTGGATTTTCACCCATTTTTCTCCCCAATTTAGATGTCTCAAATTCCACCCGCTAGTTAGGACTCCCCCCAATCACACAATCCTATCAATGCTAGGAGGGCGAAGGCTAACACAGGCTTCCTCCAAGACCTGTGAAGCGCCACCACATCATTTCGAACTGCCGCTAACAGCAACGTCATTGGAAAAAGTTCAACCCTGACTCACAAGGATCTGAAGCTGGACAGCAGGAATGTGTGGATAGAGTTATCAGAGCTTGGAGCTCCAGGCCTTAAAATGAGTGAACCAGCTACAGAAGCAAGCAGTAGTTCTGATGTGAAAGGCTGTCGTTAATGTTAATGTGCACATTTTCAAAAGTTTTTTTTTGTCTGAGTTTTACAGACTTGATGTGAAAATGACTTGAAAGCTCAGGGAACACAGTGAAAGCTTGCATGATAAAGTTTTAATGAAAAAAAAAATAAAATAAATACTAATCAGACCTATCTGAGAACTGTTTGAACTTACAATAATAATAACAATAATAATAATAATAATAATATCGTAACACATTTTCTTCCGTACATGACATATTTCGGACTGAAACACAGTATCAGGGAGGGTCTGTGAGCTAACTGAATGTTGCCTTTTGATGATATGTGGGGATAATTATTATTAAAACAGAAACAGAAAACAGAAAAATTAGAAGCACTTTCCATACAGTGGTTCAATGAGTTAAATTATCACATTTATGAAAATATAATCCTACACGCTTTTCCAAAAAATACCTTGTTTTTTTATAAAAGCATGTTGGCATGACTTTGGAAAATCACTTGTAGTCTGAAGTTCCTCCAGCAGAGAGCGCTATAATCTCGCAAATTGCCACGAATCTACACCAGAAGGACCTCATGAATGTACGTTTGCAGCAACATATATTAAAAGGAAGATGATGTAGTGCTCAAAAGATGCTGCGTTTTAAGATGTTGCATTATTCAGAATTCTACTATTTGATGTGCAACTTTTATTAAAGTGTTTATTTAAAACAGTTAATGTTTAAAGGAGCCATATGCTAACAGAAGAAAAAGTAGGTCTAAGCTGCAGTGATGTTCTGGTTGGCAGGGGCGGCAATATAATCGTAATTTTTTTTTTTAACTATAAAATATCATGCTAATCGTTTTTTGATCTCTTTCAGGCCTTAAAACAAGGTAAAATAGGTCAGGTTTGATTTCAGGTTGCTTTGTTGACCCGTCTAAAAGCAAATGGAAAGTCATAGATATACTGAAAATGTAATATTTGGCGTCCTTGTGGTTTTGAAAAATAAAGATACTGATATTTATCGTCACAGCCTTAGTCATAAGGTTGTTATATCTCAGGATAGGATATAGCACTGTCTAAAGTCTGCAGTTTAGCAGAGTCCATCCCTTGAGGCAAACCAAGAGTTCGATGGGCTGCCAACAGAATCTTCCCTCGACATTTCTGAGAACCGGAATGACCTTCAAGATGGCAGCAGGGATCCCCTAAAGGCAAGTATGGACGAGAAGCCTGTGTGTCTCTTTTTTCCAGAATCGAAACGCTGGGTTGATTCCTCTCGTGATCCGTTTCTGTCTTTATCCTGTACTGCGTCTCTCATTGGCCCCGCCGCAGCAGGTAACGTGTTTCTAATTACCGTGGCCGCGGCGACCGGAAAACGTCTGCGCTACATTAGCAAGATGACGACACGCCTGTAATCATCCAATCATTTCAGGGAAGAACGCTCGCATATGGAATTATTTGAATGCCAAATGAGGCGTGAAACGGAACTTGAGCTGCTCCAAATCCCTAAACGTGCCCTTCATACATAAGCCTTTAATGTTGTCTCTCCACATTGTGTAGTTTGTAATGTGCGTTCGACCACAAACCACCAGACTGTGTTTTCCAGTTCCTGTCCTGGAGTGGCCACGGTTTGGTGTTTTCCATGTGGTAAAAAGCCAAATTCAAAACACAAATGGCTTAAAAAGGGGCCGATGAGTTGAGTCATGTACGTTAGATCAGGGGAAACACTTCTACAGTACGGGAATACTCCACGAGTAATGCTACACACCTGGACCCCTTCTATAGGATTCTGAGTCTTGGGGATACAAAAGGGCATGTGTACGGAGCCCCGCTGGTGACATCACGACTTAGTAAGGCGTGGGAATGAGATCCTAATGCGTGGCCACGACTTAGTAAGCCGTGATTTTACTAAGTCGTGGCCACGCATTATTTTTATTTATACAGGATGTCACCAGCGGGGCTCTGTACATGTGTGTAAGGTTAGCGGTCAAAATAACTTTATAATTTGCTTAATACGACTGACTGTGACTGATGGACTGCAAGCCATGGTGGTGACAGTGTTGCCGTGAAAAGGGCGACTGCCAGAGGAAAGCAGTGTATATTGTTTATATAAGGTGTAAAAACACAGGAGGGTCCTCTGTACTTTTTTAATTTTGGTCATCAATAATGAGATTTTCGGCATCCATGACTCATCCGGTTTATACCACTGCCGTGGGTTGACAGCAAAAGTCGGGAACGTTCTTGAAGGAACATTCAGCTGACCAAATTCTGCGGTGGCAGAATTTCCATTGCTGCTCTATTGAAAACAATTGAGCTAACTGAATGTTGCCTTTTGATGATATGTGGGGATAATTATTATTAACACACACACACACACACACACACACACACAGACACACACGCACACACACACCACAGACACACACATACACACACACACACACACACACAGACACACACAGACACACACGCACGCACACACATTATATCAGCCGCTTATTCTGCTGGGTCACAGGGGGGGAGCTGGAGCCTATCCCAGAGGCCATTGGGCAGAAGGCAGGGAACACCCTGGACAAGTCACCAGTCCATCCCAGGGAATTATTACATAATCCTACACACTTTCCAAAAGCATCTGTAACTGAATTTCAGTGTGACTCTGCTATAATGACTGCTATAAATACCTTGTTTTTTTATAAAAGCATGTTGGCATGACTTTGGAAAATCACTTGTAGTCTGAAGTTCCTCCAGCAGAGAGCGCTATAATCTCGCAAATCCCCATGAATCTACACCAGAAGGACCTCATGAATGTACGTTTGCAGCAACATATATTAAAAGGAGGATGATGTAGTGCTCAAAAGATGCTGCGTTTTAAGATGTTGCATTATTCAGAATTCTACTATTTGATGTGCAACTTTTATTAAAGAGTTTATTTAAAACAGTTAATGTTTAAAGGAGGCATATGCTAACAGAAGAAAAAAGTTTTCTGCTGTTTGTCCACAAGTATGCTTTTACTGAAAAAGTAATAGTCAAAATAAACTTTCGTTCCCCAAAACCCATACATGGTATTGGACCACCTGGGACTGTATTTTTTTGTTTGGAATTGAGAAGAAATAATGTTTCCAGAATTTATAGAGAAAAGGCTGCAGGAAAACATGCTACAAGTTCAACGTACGCTGTAGCTGGAAGAGGTCAGCCAAAGCCATTACTTACTCCTGAGTCATGTCTTGCTTGTCTAAGGAGGTGTGCGGCACTAACATGTTGCATGCTAACTTGTAGCTAACTTGTTTTTTGTCAAAAATGATCAATCTTTAGTAATGTTTAGGCAGGGTTTCCCAATTCTGACGCTGGAGTAACTCTGCTGCATGTTCCTATATTGACCTTATGAAGGGCTTATGAAGGGTAATGAGCTGAGGCAGGCAGTGCAGGAGGACTTGAAGACTAGGAGCGAGAAATATTAGCCTATTTAAAGGGGCACTCAGCCTCATCGGTTGACAAAATTCATAATTTTATATAATTTTCATGTTTTCGTCCATCAGTGTTGTCTCTGTACAATACCCAGCCTGCATTTCCAGAAAATACAATCACACAACCTTTGGGAATCCCTGTGCTGTCAACCAAATACAACCGAGCTAGCGTTAGTGTAACTTTCACTGCGGTCGTTGGACAAATTCGTGAAGAAAATAGCGATTCTATCTTTATTCAGAACAAAACGAACACTAAAGATGAGTTTTTTACCCTTTCAGGCACAAAAAAAGAAGCCAAACTGAGATAAAGAGTCAGGATAGCCAGCTACTTTGCTAATTGTAGCTTGTTGTCCTCCTTATCTGAGGCATTTTCGCCATTTGAGTGATTCATTCTCTTCATTGTGTTGATGATTTGGTACTGTTGGCTGTAAAAAGATACTCAGTTTCCTAGCCGTCATGTTAGCTCTCTGCCTTCCATCTGTATTCACCAGCTAACAGAAAAAAGAGCATTTTAAAAACACCCTGCCCCCAAAAATTCACCACGAAGCAGTTATTGTTCCTCATATAAATCCTCCCACCCTCAAAATATGCCGTCAGAAGGTTTTTTCCCCCGTCTTTAAATTGGAAAAATCTCACTGTAGAGACTGAGGAACCATTGTAGGACGCAAGTAGGCATGTTTACAGCAGAAGTGGCAGTGGTAACGTTTTTCATTTTGGCTGGAGTGTCCCTTAAATTTACTTGATTGTTACGGGACGGCAGGGAGGCGGACCCAAGTGCATAGAGGAAAACCTGTGAGAAAGGGTCTTAAATGAATTAATGAGGTGATGGAGTGCGAATGGAGTGATTTGGCACGTTGGGGTTGAGGTGGATCAGAGCCAGGCCGATGTACCGAATGGCGGCGCGAGGACTTACCGCTGTGCCACCGGGAAGCACTGGTGTAAACGGGAAAAACACCTCAATGATTGGGGATGAAAAAATTTGTTTCATGTCTCACCTGCACTCAAAAAAATATTTGCCCAAAACTTAAAACTTATGTGTTTTAATTACGTCAATTTTCCATTCAATTTAAATACATAAATCCACTGTTAAAATTGGTATTATAATCTATGTTTCTCCATCACGTTCAATAAACCTGAATGAATTAAATATCGTTTAAATTAGAAGTACTTGTAGGATTTATGCAATACTTTAACATAACATTTATGTATTTCTAAAGAGTTAATCATACCTTCTGTATTCACAGCACAATTAACGTAAGAGCACTGTATTCCGTACAGTATTTCGGCATTTTTCGCGTTTTAGTAGTTATTGCGGAAATACCCGAAGTCATATCCGATTTAATGATTGGTTGGACTCTGCAAAATCTGCCTAGCAACCAATGTGCACTTTGATTGGTCACATTTGGGCCAATAATTTTAAAGAAATAAGAAAAAAACGTCATCTGCGTCTGCGGTTTGTGCCGTCAGTAAACACACTGTGTTTCGTGGTGATGATACATTGTTTAATATTCGTTTAAGTGTTAAATATCATGTTTAAACATGCTAAAATGCATTTTAACTGGTCATGAAAGTTTCCCCACCCCATTCACATTCACATCCCTGGGTTTCCCCCACCCGTCATGTTTGTGTGGCGCTGGGGGGTCGGTCACTATTTGCACAGATTGATGTCCAAACCCAGCTTAGATAGTCTTGCCAACCGATTTGATGGAAAAAAGGATTGTATCGTTGACAAACGTCAAGAAAGTGGTTTTTATTACACATACAGAAATATTTGCAAGTGTACGGAATACTGAAGTGTACGGAATACTGAAGTGTACGGAATACCGTGCTCTTACGCTACTTAGACTGTGTAAATGTATTAAATGACAATACATGTTAAATTCACAAACATTTATTGTCTAATATGAAAGAAATAACTTTATATATTTCAGCTGTGATCAAATTCCCTCGTTTAGAATTTCTATTCACTCGCAACTGAACTACTAATTAAAGCAAATGTTTATGTGCACAACATTCCTACTGAGGTGCAGCTCTCAAGCTAACCATCATACAAGTTAGCTAGCTAACGCTATCAGTCACCATGCTAACATGCCGAGGTCACCTACAGTTACAAAAACCATGAACTGTTGATTTGAATATTAATGGACTACGTCTTTATATACTGCTTCACAATAAATCACTCAGATCGTTTATTTAATCCACGTTTTGTACCCGTTAACATGACGGCAGACCTAGCAAGGATGCTAGCGAGCTAGTTGGCTGGTGTTGTCTAGAGCCTCTCTCAAAATAAACAGAATGAAACATTAATATTTGGTCAAAAACATTAAAAACACAAGTTAATGCGCATGACTGTTTCACTGCAGTTGCACTGAATAACAAAGGATGGCAGGATCATAAAAAGAGCCATTTCATGTCCACCACGCCAGCTGAAGCTAAATTCTGGTTGATGATGCGTTTCCTGTTACTATTGCACATGCGCACTGCCTCCTAATAAGATTTAGTGGAAAATCTAACAGGTCTTATACAATTCAATTAAATCAGTTTTGGGTTTATCCAAATTGGGTTGCTTCTAATGAATATAAATAAGTATATTTTTATCTTTTTTAAATACATTTTATGTAAAATATTTGCTTAATGTTTATGATGGCCATAAATCATTTTTTGAGTGTTTTGTTCCTTTATAGAACAAACACTTTTTGTTTGGGTTGGAGCCGTTTCTTGTTTAAGTCATCTTTTTGTCTTTTCAGTAGTTTTAGGGCAATTTATTCTTTTCAGCCCTCTTTTTCTTCTTTCTGCAGTTTTGGGGCAACTTCTTTTTTTCAGCCCTCCTTGCCTTTCCCTGCCTTTAACGACCCTGAGTACCGTACCGGCCACCGCTCTACAAAGGTGTGACAAAGGGCTGCTGTTTGCCACAGCCTTAAGTAGAGAACCCTACAGGTGTGTCAGGTTGGCCCTAATCAGCCTGAGGGATTCTGGGATTTGGAGTTCCCTGAACCGGGTGCGCCTCACTGCCGTTGCCCTCTGCTGCCAGCCGGCAGCACAGGCTGGACCCTTACACTTGATATCTTTGAATATAAAAATATGTAAAGAGAACAGTATCATAGTTTAACTAAAAGCCTTTTAAATAATGTCTTCATTCAGTGTTGCAGTGGGGGGGCACTATGGTGGGGTAATGTCTGAGAATCCTGATTTTTGGTAAATTTCTGCTCTAGGTTTTCCTCTCAGAGGTCTTTAAGGCATAGCAACACTCATAGTGTGTGCACTGCAAAAAATGATAATGAAATGAAGTTAAATCATTTCAAATCTAGTCGATATAGATATTATTTCACCATTTAAGATTTTTGTGAGAACATTATAAGGTTATTACTTGCCTCTAGTCATTTTTTACATGTTTTAAGAGAAATTTGTCTTTTTCTAGCAGATATTTTTAGCTTGTTTCATGCATGATGTAAAAAAGAAATCAAGCAAAATTATCTGCCAATATAATAAGACAGCATTTTTTTTCTCCAGATCAAACTGCTTAAAATAAATTTAAAAAGTCTACTGAAAAGTCTATTATTGTGATTCTACAACAATCTCCAATGCTGGATAGAATCTTTTGCAAAAGTTTAAAACACCCCAGTCAAATGACGTTTTTGTTGATTTTCTAAGTGAGAATAAGTTGAGATGTTCCGTACAGAGAGCTTAAAAAGGGCACTCTTCTGGATTTTTTTTGCGCACAATTTCTATTTAGTTCAACATATTGGAAAACAAAAATACAATGTGTGTACCTGTGTGTTTAAGGGGACAGAGGGCACACTCCGAGCCCCAGGCCTCTCCATACAGGCAGCAGCACTCGGCATACGTGGTCTTCCGGTTACTCAGTGGATTACTGCAGGTCAGTGTCTCTGTAACAGTCTCCCAGCAAGTATTGTGGAACATGTCCTGCTCCCTGTGCTCTGTGGACACACAGCGGCCAGTGAGTGCAAGTACACGGTAGGGTTTTTAGCCAAAGACAATGGCAAAAATGTTTTGATACAGAACCTTAGACAACAAGCACAGCTGTACAGATGTATATGACCCATTCTACTGAATTAGTTCAATTATTCGAAAAAAAAACCATTAAGTATTCAGACCTTATATTTTTACAAGGACTGTGTTACTATCTATTCAAACCCAATGCATTAATAGAGATAATAATAAGCTAAATATATACAAAATCGTGAATTACTTGGTCCTTTCTATTTACAAATTTCATTGTGTCAAAATTTGTAATACATTTCTACGCATTTTTTAAAAATATAGTTTTTAAAAAGATCTTGTAGAAGAAAGTTGATTAATCATAAATTTCATTTTTTCAATTTAAAAAGCTGTTCCAAGCTGTCTTTGACAGCTAGTTATGCTCAAAATTAGGTCAAACTGTCACAACCGAAACACTCTGTACTATTTCAGAGGCAATATTATTGTTTTGCCAAAGAGAAAATGAAATGGTCAGTCATTTGTTTTAGTAAAATAAACATAATTAAGGTGTAGGGTCATTCAAAGTAAAAGGATTTTAGTCTGAAGCCCAAGTCAAAAGGTCTGAAAGTCATTTACGCTGTGACTGTGAACCAATTCAGTAAATTGATCCATATAAGTACTTATAAGAACAGCTATGAATATACTTATAGTACTGGCAAGAAGGTAAGCTTTAAAAGAACGGAAGTGTACAGCTTCAGTTTTATGTACAAGAATATGTGTACGACGGATTTATGGCCTGAGAAAATTCTATTTAAACCAGTTTATCTGGGCAGTAAACTTTAATTACTAACATTAAATTAAATACAAATTCAATAAATAGTGATTATATGTGGGTCAGTGTGTTAGCGTTCCTTCACCTCTCCTAAAGGCAGGATTTGTTGTTACCATCCAATACCAGCTTCAGCTAATCAATACTTCATTAAGGTAAATCATGTGTGCTGCTGGTGGAATTGAACAAGCATCAAAAAGCACCAAACCTGTGCTCTCCTAAACAGCGCACAACATAAGAATGATTTTACCAAAAACAAGAAATTCTTGCTACATTTTTGCTGTATTGAGTAGGGATGTCCCGATCCGGTCTAGTGGATTGGGAGCAGAGCTGATCCAGGCATATTAGTATAAATCAGGTATCAGCTATATTAAGCCCAATTCCTATCCTTCGCTTTTCAGAGTTCTGTTTACTTCACTGTCATAGAGGTGGCATGAATGGACATGAAAGCACAGTTTCAAAAGTTAACAAAGTGGTCTAAACATCTGCAGTGTGGAAGTATATCTGTCGAAACATGGCCACATTAATTGTGAACAAGCATCTACTACACTTCGAGTCTATTTTCTGCCACTTGCTGTAAGCGGCATGCCAGCAGAAACATGTACAAATTCCTGCAAAGTTTTTCACTTGCGGGTCTTGGCTGGGGTTAAAATCATTCTCTTTAAAAAAATTCTCCTAAAATTTACTAAACATTTGAACGGAACACCCATTTGTGTGCCTGCATTATCTATAAAAAACACAAACATCAGAAATTTGGCCGATGTTCGGTGTAGAAGTTCTCAGATCGGATGCTATATAGTGCTTTTACCATTAAATGCTTACTGCCCAGGTAAACTGCTTTAAACTACACCGATCAGGCATAACATTATGACCACCTCCTTGTTTCTATGCTCATTGTCCATTTTATCAGCTCCACTTACTATATAGGTGCACTTTGTAGTTCTACAGTTACAGATTGTAGTCCATCTGTTTCTCTGCATACTTTGTTAGCCCCCTTTTACCCTGTTCTTCAGTGGTCAGGACCCCCATGGACCCTCACAGAGCAGGTACTATTTGGGTGGTGGATCATTCTCAGCACTGCAGTAACACTGATGTGGTGGTGGTGTGTTAGTGTGTGTTGCGCTGGTGCGAGTGGATCAGACACAGCAGTGCTGCTGGAGTTTTAAACACCTCAGTGTCACTGCTGGACTGAGAATAGTCCACCAACCAAAAATATCCAGCCAACAGCGTCATGTGGGCAGCGTCCTGTGACCACTGACGAAGGACTAGAGGATGACCAACACAAACTGTGCAGCAGCAGATGAGCTATCGTCTCTGACTTTACATCTACAAAGTGGACCAACAAGATAGGAGTGTCTAATAGAGTGGACAGTGAGTGGACACTGTTTAAAAACTCCAGCAGCACTGCTGTGTCTGATCCACTCGTACTAGCACAACACACACTAACACACCACCACCACGTCAGTGTTACTGCAGTGCTGAGAATGACCCACCACCCAAATAGCACCTGCTCTGTGAGGGTCCATGAGGGTCCTGACCACTGAAGAACAGAGTAAAAGGGGGCTAACAAAAGTATGCAGAGAAACAGATGGACTACAGTCTGTAACTGTAGAACTACAAAGTGCACCTATATAGTAAGTGGAGCTGATAAAATGGACAGTGAGCGTAAAAACCAGGAGGTGGTCATAATGTTACGCCTGATCGGTGTAGTTTCATGGTCTAAAGCTTATTTCACACCAGATGTGACACGGCGCACAGCGTGTTAATCTAGAACCACTCCGTGACGCCTGTTATTTCAGACTGGACACAACACACATGTCACAAAGCAAGAGCGGTTGCTGTTTGTGTTGTGTTTTCATGTAATAGAAACATCTGTACTGTCCATTTATTACTCATATAAACTTTATATAGATGACATAAAGAGATCAACAATAAAATCTTGACTAGCTGCCTTGACTGTTGCTGGCTTTCTCACCAGGTGATGTAGCTCTATATGAAGAGGAGGATATGCCTGTGTGTTCACAACATTAACCTACTCAATGGATTTCAGTCAACTTGTTGAAGAGTTAAAACCAGATTTGTTGATTTGTTTATTAGCATAGATCGTAAATTATAGCACAGACATTGCATTTCTTTACCGTTTCTGCATGGAAACTGCTGGCATGCCGAACGAGTCAGAAACAGACCCAGCATATTTTTGCATTTCATGCGCTCGTTACCGCTGAGGTGCCGCGTTACAGTGGGAAAGGCTACGTTGATTAATATAGAAGCGTATTGCGCGCAGCACGGTTACCCCATCTGGTGTGAAATGGGCTTTAGACTTTCGCACAGTACAGGGTTAAATGCAGAGCTTACCTGCAACAGCAGGGAAAACACAGCGCTTGTTGTCTGGGGCTAGCATCATGGGGGGAGTGCAGAAGCATTGGTAGGAGCCATGATTGTTGAAGCACTGGCCATCTACACAGTTGGACTCATCTAAACACTCGTCCGTATCTGCAGAGAGAAAGAAAGAGCAACACTTTCATTCATTTCTTCTTCTTGTGAATGAATTACGATTTTCCCCATGTGCTGTAAACGTCATCAATAAAATCAAGACCTCTTAAAAACTCTTCACCTCCACACGTTATTACCTTAAGAACCGTCAGTGTAGACGTCACTATCCGCCTACCGCTGTCCATTGTTAGAGATAACAGCTTGTTATATGCTGTCAGAAATCACATTACTCCAGATTACTTAACCACTTGAGGTGGTCAGAGGCGACTGTGATGATTCAGATATGCAATTAGCACGATGCTAACTGGTGGGGTATAAGCAATATTAGCCTTGTAGCTTTTGCTTTAAGTGAATCTGGGAATGTGCTTGTGTCTTCCTTCGCAGTCATGGGTCTGTGTGCGAAAGTTGGAACACCCCCAGCCAAAGGCCATGTTGTGTTGATTTTCTAATTGAAACCAATCTAACACACCCTCTACAGAGAACACAGTTAAATATGGCATTTTCTGTAAATTTTAATTTGCTGACTTTAATATATTGGGGGAAAAATATATATATAATATATAAACATTTTATATAACTTAAAATTTTCATAACTTTTCCACAGGCTAGATTTTATGTATTATGAATCAGTCCACTACAGCTGCACTAATCCACTACGATGAGCTCCATACCCAAAAATAAATTAAAAAAGAAAGAAAAAAGAGAAAGAAACCTTATGCCTTAAGCCTGGACACACACTCGTATCTGTGAAGTATGCCGGGCTGGCTGGTGCGCGCTGCCTTGCGGTTTTACAGTGGAAGGGGAATAGGAAATGTAAATGGCTTGGCTGGGAAGCGTGGCTGCTATATGCATTTAGTGTGTGTTAAACGCGTTCAAAAATACACCTCCCCACCCATTCAGGCCACAAATGAAAACACACGGTCCAGCGCCGGTTCGGGCCATCGTTATAAGTGGCCGAGGCATGAGCGAAGGAGCTAAATGGGGTATGTGTGCGTACGTGTGCATGTATGCATGTTAGAAAAAAAAAGGTCCAAATTTGTACCCCCCCTTATGTACACTTACACTGGAGGCCTTCCCCGTCCCTCTGTTAACAGCCCCCCAACATTGGCCTGGCTTACAAGGCTAAAGACGAGTTTGAGGACAAGAAGGTGTCAGTACTCCTATGTGCTCTGCCTTTGTGTTTATCTCATTTCTAATGTGGAAGGGACGCAGAAAGGGTCATAGAAAATTCTTACTATATTTAGGACCTTTTACAAATGTTCAGTCTCAGAAGTTGGTTGCATTTTCTGCTTCTCGCATCAGTCCCCTTCAACAGCCCATAAAACCTTACTGCACATTATTAAGGTCCAAGAACTTTGGGCTGTAAGTTTGGGCAGTTGCTTGTGTGAACGTTAGTGTCTCTTAAAGGGGAACATGATGTCGGTGAGAGCTTCAGGAAGATGCAGCTGTAACAGGTTGGTTTTAAAATAGGAAGGATAGAAGAGGCAATAGAGTGGAAAAAACTAAAAAGTGGACAAATTAAGTACTGATAGATTTGATATTACACTTACACTGGAGGCCTTCGTGTAATTTTCTGTTATGTTTAGTACTTTTTTCTGATATTCAAAAATGAATATACACAGGGTTGGTATATGACTTTTGCAAAGTACTGTACATACGGAACATATAACAACAGAGAGGTATATATATATATTAGAATTCAAGTGTTTCATTCAGTGTCTGCCACAGGTGTATAAAATCAAGCACCTAGCCGTGCAGTCTGCCTTTACACACATTTGTGAAAGAATGGGTCGTTCTAAAGAGCTCACTGAATTCGAGTGTAGTTCTGTAGTAGGCTGCCACCACTGTTGCAAGACTGTTCCCAAAATTTCTTCCCTCTTAAATATTCCACGATCAACTGTGAGTGACATTATTGAAAAGTGGAAGAGTTTAGGAACCACGCAGCTCAGCCACGAAGCGTCGACCATGTAAAGTTACAGAGCAGGTCGCTGAGCGGGTCATGCTGAGGAGCATAGTGCATAAAAGTCACCAACGCTCTGCTGATCAATAACTGCAGAGTTCAAACCTCCTCTGGCATCAACATCAGCACAAAACCTGCACCAGGAGCTTCATTGCATGGGTTTCTATGGCCAAGCAGCTGCATGCAAGCCTTATATCACCAAGCACAACGCCAAGCATCAGGAGGGAGTGGTGTAAAGCGCCTCCACTGGACTCTGGAGCAGTGGAAATGCATTCCGTGGAGTGACCAATCACGCTTCTCTATCTGTCAGTCTGATGGACGAGTCTGGGTTTGGCGAATGCCAGGAAAACGTTACCTGCCTGACTGCACTGTGCCAGCTGTAAAGTTTGGTGGAGGAGGGATGATGCTATGGGGTTGTTTTTAAGGACTCTTAGTTCCAGTAAAGGGAAATCTTAATGCTTCAGCACCAAGACATTTTGAGCAATTGTACACTTCCAACTTTGTGGGAACAGTTTGGGGAAGAACCTTTCCTGTTCCAGCATGACTGAGCCCCAGTGCACAAAGCAGCTCCATAAAGGCCTGACTGGGTGAGTTTGGTGTGGAAGAACCTGACTGTCCCTCACAGAGCTCTGACCTCAACCCCATCAAACCCTCTCGACCAACATCAGCGTCTGACCTCACAAATGCTCTTCTGGGTGATCGGGCAAACATTCCCACAGACACTCTCCAAAATCTTGTAGAAAGCCTTTCTAGAAGAGTGGAAGCTGTTACAGCTGCAAAGAGGGACTGACTCCATATTAATGCCTATGGATTTAAAATGGGATTCATAAATGTTCCTGTAGGTGTAATGTGAAGGTGTCCCAATACCTTTGTCCATATAGTGTCCATATATATAGAAAATACTTATGGGGCATATTACATATACATACTTACATACAGATAATATAAATGGGACATATTATTACTACATATAGTTACATATATAGAAAGCATGTGTATGCATTCCATCTGGACAGAATACTAAGAGCAATTAAACACATTTCCAATTAAATCAGGCCTCAATTACAGCCCAGTACGTTTGTGTGTGAGACTAGCTGCATGAACAGCAAAGCACTGCTATGTGACACCAGGCATTCTGTGGTGTGGCAGGCTTCAGAGGCTGGACTCCATCCATGACTTTGTGTGTGAGTGTCTGTGGTTTGCCATAGTCCTGTGGTTTGGATCATTATGCTTGTGTCGCCACAAAACCTGCTGTCTCTCCTCAGACGTTCCCCACCCAAACGCTGACCCCGTGCACAGACGCACACACAACCACAAGCACGAGATGAGAGGTCGATACACTAGCCTAAATAGAGTTTAAAAGCCCCCGTCTGTGATTAACCCCACCACAAATAAAACCCTACACATTCTAAAGTAGCACAGCATGGGGTGCATGGTTGCACATCCAAAGCATACAGACCCCAGGCCTCATATACACTCACAAAACACTACTCGAAGGGAAACAGTCATATAGACCACAGACACGCACTCTCACTCTCCTGCTTACACACTAAGATAAACAAGCTACTGTTACTCTATCTAGGCACTAAATTGTGGTGGTGACTTTTTTAAAGGCCAAACAAAACAGGGACTTTATATAAAACTTAGCCTTCTAAGATTTTATCTTATGATCTACATACTATAGTGCATCAGCTAGTCTACATCTAGAGGGGAAATTCTCTGACTAACAATGATTCGAGTACAATCACGATTTCAAATACACAGAATACACAAATAAAGTGAATGTAAAAAGGGAACAAGTGCAGTCTCTATAGTGAGCATGTGGTGGTTTGGAAGCGATTCTTACCCACACATTGAAGTTTGAACTCATCGTAGTAGAATCCAGTCTTGCAGTAGCACTCGTATCCTCTGTCCACGTTCAGACAGAAGCCGCCTTTACAAATCTCCTCCCCAAAGAGGGCGCACTCATCAGCGTCTGATAAGAACACGCAGTAAATACAAGAGAGCAACTATAATGACATACAGAGTGCGCATACAATCACCTTTTCATGAAAAAATCTACAACCATTTATTCGATCTTTAGCTCTTGTATTAGAAAAAAATATATATTGTTGCAAATATTAAAAAGCATAACTATTTATCATGTTTAGAACCCCAAACTATTTTTTTTATTTTGTTTTTATACTACTTTTTGCGTTTTGTACTATACTGTACCATGCCAGCTGACCCTTACACGTGCTTCTCTACAGAACTTTCCAAACAAGAACCTTTATAGTGTTCAAAAGAATATGTTTGTATATATATACAACACAAACATACACACAGACTCACAATCCAAATAATCTCTATAAACCTTTATACTTTACATATAAATTATAAATATATATTAACACTGTATACACACATACACACACACATCTTCTAAACCGCTTATCCTTCTGGGTCACAGGGGGGGAGCTGGAGCCTATCCCAGCTGTCACTGGGCAGAAGGCAGGATACACCCTGGACAGGTCGCCAGTCCATCGCAGGGCAGACAGACAGACACATACATTCACACTCACTTTCATACATATGGGCAATTTAGCATGTCCAATTGGCCTGACTGCATGTCTGTGGACTGTGGGAGGAAACACACACATCTATCTACCTATCTGTCTGTCTGTCTGTCTGTCTATATTTAGTCTCTTATCCCTGGGGCGCAAGTCTGAGTCTCACGTCTCTGGGGTATGACTCCAAATCTCAAGTCCCTGGCATGCGAGTTTGAGTCTCGAGTCTCTGAGGAGTCCAGGTCTCAAGTCTCTGCAAAGTGAATTTGTATGGACACTCGAGTCAGTGAGGCGCAATTCCTAGCCCGAGTCAAGTCTCTGGAGTGCCATTAAGAATCAAGCTTCGAGTCAGGACTCGAGTCAATTCTCTGGAGTGCAAGTTAGAGTCTTGAGTATCTGGGGTGGCCGATCTGGTCTCAAGTCTATGGGGTGTGAGTCCAAGTCAGAGTGTCGAGTCTCTTGGGTATGAGTCCAAGTCAGAGTCTTGAGTCTCGGGGTGTGAGTCCAAGTCAGATCTTGAGTCTCGGGGTGTGAGTCCAAGTCAGAGTCTTGAGTGTCGGGGTGTGAGTTCAAGTCAGAACTTGAGACAGACAGACACATACACTGACACTCACTTTCATACATATGGGCAATTTAGCATGTCCAATTGGCCTGATTGCATGTCTATGGACTGTGGGAGGAAACACACACATCCATCTACCTATCTGTCTGTCTGTCTGTCTGTCTATATATCTATATATATCTACCATATGGTAAAATGGTAACTTTACAGGAGAAGGAAAAAACATACTTTACTGTTTTTTTTTAATGTAAGTTAATTGAACCAGACTTTTGTCCAAGTCATTTTGGGCCATTTTTTTTAGTCAATTGACTGTGATATTTACATACAATGTAAAGGGCAACAGCCATCAAAGTATGTCAAAAACTGAAAAATGAATACAAAAATTCATATACGAGATGTCATACATATATATAGATATGGTGCATTCAACATTATTCACTACATGTACAGTTTATGCTCCCATCACTAGAAACCCTCTTGCTAAATGAGACTCTTTTATACCCAGAATACAAATGCGAAAGCATTTCCATTTATTCATTACCATATGTTCTTACCCCAAGTGATTTTAGGAAGCGTTTAAGCACCAAACTCACAGAGCATCGGATTAAAAGCAGCCAGTGAGCTGGATCGGAATCTGAGCTCAGGGCCAGGGGCGCCTTTCAACAGGTGTGTTCTCTCAGGAGAGTCTATAGAGTTTATTATCTGTATCTGTTACTTCTGGTTGGTGCTCATATTTGCTAATATGATGAGTCATCCGCAAATGTAACTGAAGACGCACATAGGCGCAGATGTAGAGGATATGCCTTTTTAATTCCCAGCTCACACAGACTCGCATATGCACACACAAACTCACACACAGACACACATACACACACACACATACACACACACACACACACACACACACACACACACACACAGTTTCCAACCACACCACAGTGAGCTGCTCTGCTGCCAGCCAGAGCTAACCGCACACTCATTGCCTTCATAAATTAAATCAGTGCATTAGACTGGCCCTGAGCGCTGAGGTTTTCCCCAGACTGGGAAGCAGGGACACAACAGCTCTAATTAGTGTGTGTATGTGTGTGTGTGTGTGTACATATGTGGGTCAGATGCTTACAAATGTCTGGGACTGCTGCTCCTGAGACAGTGTTTTAGTTTTTTTATTTTTCAAACTCTGGGTGGCGACCTTCTAGTGGGTCACAGCGTAGGGACTAGTGGGTCGTGAGGAAGTTAGATCAGAGCATATTTAGTCTCTTATCCCTGGGCGCAAGTCCGAGTCTCACGTCTCTGGGGTATGAATCCGTATCTCAAGTCCCTGGCATGCGAGTCCAGGTCTCAAGTCTCTGCAAAGTGAGTTTGTATGGACACTCGAGTCAGTGAGGCGCAATTCCTAGCCCGAGTCAAGTCTCTGGAGTGCCATTAAGAATCAAGTTTCGAGTCTGAGGTGCAAGTCTGAGTCTCTGATCTCTGTGCTGTGAATCTGAGTCAGGACTCGAGTCAATTCTCTGGAGTGCAAGTTAGAGTCTTGAGTATCTGGGCGTGGCCGGTCTGGTCTCAAGTCAATGGGGTGTGAGTCCAAGTCAGAGTGTCGAGTCTCTTGGGTATGAGTCCAAGTCAGAGTCTTGAGTGTCGGGGTGTGAGTCCAAGTCAGAACTTGAGTATCTGGGGTGTAAGTCCAAGTCAAGTCTTGAGTCTCTGGGGTGCGAGTCCAAGTCAGAGTCTTTAGTCTCTGGGTATGAGTCCAAGTCAGAGTCTTGAGTGTCAGGGCGCGAGTCCAAGTCAAGACTTGAATCTCTGGGGTGTGAGTCCAAATCAGGACTCGAGTCTCTGGGAGTTTGAGTCCAAGTCAAATCTTGAGTCTGCAATGTGAATAAGTGTGGAGTCTTGAGTCTCGACCCCTGAAATGCAAGTCCAAGCCATGTCTCTGAGGTACGAGTGTAAGCCTCGAGTCTCTGGTCTTTGGGGTGTGAGTCCAAGTCGAGTCTTCAGTCTCTGGGGTACGAGTCCAAATCAAATCTTGAGTCTCCTAAAACTTCAGCTAAATGACTTAATGCACTAGCTAGCATACTTACTAAGAAAAGACTATCAGTTTCAAGTTGTTTTACTTCATTTTGAAGTGTTTTCTATAATGAATGGCCAGTTATTTGAACCTGATGCCACTGCATTGCTGTAATGAAGCAAAGGTTTTATTCAGTCACGACATTAATGTTGGCGGTCCTGACTGCATCAGGTATATTCATGTTTTTTTTCTCTGAAATTTCATGAATCTTAAGTCTATAGTCTTATTCTACACAAATACAAGACAAAATGCAACCAGAAATGCGAAGAACAATACAACACCTTTGTAGTTGTTGGCTGAGGAAACTCCAAACACAGCGTCCCCCGTTGGAACGCTGCCCGGACCAGCTGGACACATTTGAGCAAACTGATCTGTGGGAAACACAGCAGGTGTGGATGGTTAGTCTGGGACCGACTCTTTTTTGAGCTCCTTTGTTATTCACATCAGTAGCCACGCCATTAATAAGGCTCAGTTAGAACGCAGTTTCTCTGATGTAGGAGATGAACTGTGTGATTAGTTAGAGAAGGTAATATATTGATGCTTTCAGAATAGACGGTAACACTTTCTATGAATGTCACGTTTGTAAGCATCTATAAACACATTCATAACATGTTATAATTCATAAGGCATTTTAAACATGGCTATAAATATTTATAAAAATGCATTACATGCTATAGCCATGTTTATTATGCATCATGAATTGTTAACATAGTGCATTATAAGTACTGTTCATAACAAATTATAAGAGCTCATAAGTCGTATTTGTCCGCTCTAAGTAAAGTGAAGCGTACTGTACTAAAGCCTCCTCCGGTGTTAAGAGTGAGGCTTCAAGTTGAAGTATTTACTGAAGGATTTACTGAAACACTAAAACACTCACAGTAAAGCACATTACAGGCTTCAAATGTCTGATTTTAAATTAGTGCTGCATCAGTGTTTTACCCAATGTGGGAAAGTCAATGTACACCACTGTTAATGTACACCACTGTTAGCTCAGCACTAACTTAACACTGCATATCCAATATTATATTGTTTGGAGCATCTGAATATTCAGGACTGAAGCCCTGAAGATGCAGCCCTAACAGCAACAGCGGTGACAAACAAAATAATGGAAATCTCAGAGCGTAAATAAACTTTGTATTTGTGTTTACTTTACACTCTCCAAGCTGGGACTGACTTCTTTGGCACTGACAGTATAACATGTTATTAACACTACTTATAATGCATTATATTAACAATTTGTAATGTATAATAAACATGGCTATAGAGTGTAATTCAGTGTAATTATTTTTTATAAATATTTATAGCCATGTTTATAAAGCCTTATGAATGCATTATAGCATGTTATAAAACGTGTTTATAGATGCTTACAAATGTAACATTCATAAAAAGTGTCACTGAATAGACTAATCAAAGATTCTAGTGTCAGCAGATATTCATAGCGTTGGTCTTATTGTCGAGAGATAGCAAATTTGATTCCTGGGGATGCCACAGCCCTCCGTGGCCAGGAGTTCAAGAGAGCATAACTGGCCCTCCTCTATCTGGGTGGGTAGGATGGTGGAACTGGATATGATCAAAATGGGGGGCAAAACAATCACAATTGTGTAAAAATTTAAAAAGTACATACAAAAAGTCTTTAGATAGCCGAGAGTTAAGAGGAGTTTAGATGTTCAGATGTTGTCTTCTTAGATTATAACAGGCCGGTTACTCCTACAGGTCATTCTATCTGCATTACACTGAGGTGTCACTTGTTCCATACGAAGGGATGTTACCTGTTCCCTGTACAGGACAGGGGAACACCTCGCAGTTGTCCCCCCAGCCCGCTCCCAGTGTGCAGCAACACTCCTCGATGGTCACGCTGCTGGTCAGAACATTGTCACACAAGTTCTCGTCGTTCAGGTTGTAGTAGCACTCTTTCCTCTCGACAGACGAGGCTGCGGAGGAAAGATCAGAATGTTTGCACAGTTGATATTTGGTTTGATGCTATTAAGATTCTTGTGAAATTACTGTAATTTACTGTAATAATGTTTCGTGTGTATCTGTGTGCTGTTGCCCCACCACATTTTGAGTGTTCTCAAAGGTATCCTGTGACATGTGAATCTAACCAAGCCCACAATCTGTAGATTTTTACTCAGCTTGTGTCACAAACTACATTTTTGAACAAGAAAATCCATAAATAGTATGCAAAAGTGTTGGTCAAATTACATGTTTTGTTGAAGTGAATTAAGCAATAGAACGCGAGAGGGAGTGTATTATCGTGAAATAACATCACGGCTGTGATTTGGTCGCTGTAGATCATCACAGCTGTGATATTATTTGCGATAACACACAACCTCGAGTGTTCTATTGCTTTTATACAACAGTTAAATAAATAAAGTAAGAAAAAATTAAACTGGGTGAACGCAGCGTTTAATATGTTTTAATGTTCATAATTCCTTCTGCCAAATTATAGTTTCTTAACGAGCATCTTGTCCCAACTAAATGGGATTTTTTGTACACAGTTTCTGTTTGGTAAGTTTATCACTTTAGAAAAACAACATAAAACATACCATAATACAGGCCACATTTGTGTTTTATTTTTATGTTAAATTCAGCAAACCAACAGTAACAGAGCATTACAATGTGCAGAACTGCGCTCTCTGTAGAGGATGTGTTGACTTATTTTCATGTCAACAAGACATGTAATTTGACCAGGGGTGCCCAAACTTTCACACACAACTGAAAGTCACATCAGTCACATTCCACTGTTACTCTGAATCACGGCACTTACTGATTTAGCTGACAATCGCACTGAATCCAACAAGAAAGGAGGCCTCATGCATCTTTTACTAAAACAGCAGCACATAGAAAGCTCAGATTCTATAGGCTGAGAAGTTTCACTCTGGCCAACATGCACTTGTATGCACTGTTAACTCCTCTGGCTCCTATGAAGTCCAGCGAGGCCATGAGGTAGTTATAATTTTCTGGATTGTTATCTTGAGATAACCAGTTAACTATCTTGTGATCTCAAGCTGTTGGTATAATTTTCTGGATTGTTATCTTGAGATAATGAGTTAATTATATTGTGATCTCACAATAACAAAGTTGTTATCTTGAGATCACAAAATAATTCTCAAGATAACCTCTGTTATCTCAAGATAACAAGATAACTAACTAACTCATTGTTTCAAGATTTCTTGAATTAACAAGGTAATTAACTTGTTACCTCAAGATAACAATTTTGTTATCTTAAGATAACAGGATCATTAACTTGTTATTTCAAGATAACTTTTGTTATCTCGAGATCACAAGATAACTAACTCGATATTTCAAGGCAACAACTTTGTTATCTTGAGATCAATAGAAAATGAACTCGTTTTTTTTTAAATAACAACTTTTGTTATCTTAAGATAACAAGATAACTAACTCGTTATTTGTTAAAGTTGTCAAAGTTGTTATCTTGAGATCACAAGATAATTAACTTGTTACCTCAGGATAACAATCCAGAAAATTATAACTAACTCATGGCCTCTCTGGACTTCATAGAGCAATCATTGAGAGGCATTGAGCCATCAAGTAGTTATAATTTTCTCGATTGTTACTTTGAGATAACGAGTTAATTATCTTTTCATCTCACAATAACAAAGTTGTTATCTTAAGATCACAAGATAATTATCTCAAGATAACTTTTGTTATCTCAAGAACTCATTATTTCAGGATAACAACTTTATGAGATAATAAAATAATTACTTGTTTTCTTAAGATAACAAGATAACTAGCTTGTTATTTCAAGATAACAATTTTGTTATCTTAAGATAACAGGATAATTAACTCGTTATCTCAAGATAACATTTCAGAAAATTATAACTACCTTATGGCCTTTCTGGACTTCTGTAGGCTCCAGATTTCACAGAGTTAAAAGGGTCAGTGTCAAATTCTCGTAACGGATTAGTGGCGAGATGCTCGGCTCAATTGGTTTAAATTAGAATTTTGTTATCGCTAGACAGCGGAGAAGACAATCATTATTTTAGTTGATTTTTACATTTTTCTCATGATGTCATCGGGTGAGCCACTGTGTTAGAGTTGGTGTTTAGTGGTCTTTAGTTTCCACGGCTATGGCGCTAACCCAGATTTATCTCAGGTCACTGTAGCCGTCCACTAATAATATCTATTGGTGAGATTTACTTAGAAATCACAGAAAGAACACAGCAGTTTTCAAGCACCTGGACTACATTCTCCACCAATTATCATGGGCTTTCCCGGCTCTCATGGATCACAGCAGAATATCCTGCCCAATTTGTCCCGGAATAAACCCCATAACCTTCTCCGTCTGCTTTATCCCGCAGTCAACAAGCCTGCTAGCATGACAGGTAAACATAGAACAGCCCCCCAAAGACCAAAGCACCATGTTTTGTTGCTCGCAGATGGGAGAAGTTAACATTCCTCTTCATCAGACATTCAAAAGGATTAAAGGTTATATAATCGCTGCACTGCAACCAACAACAAACAACTTCCCACATGATCAGATCTTGCTTCTATTTTTCGCTTTGGTTGCCTCACACATATAACAAAAAAGGAGGCGGTGAAAAAAGTCCCAAAACAGTGCTATTTCAGTCACAGCTGCTTGTTTATGCTAGCTTTCATAGTGTTTTCCTTCTTTTACAATGGCAGAGAGAGTGAAAGCGAGAAAGATTTATGCTGCTACAGAGTCAGTGACAAGCACCGGTGACATGTAATGAGTCTCTATAATTTGTTACGAACATTAAAATCATACTCCCTGAACCTTTCACCTAAAAGGTGCACATCATCAGAAAGTTTGGGGACATTTAGTTTCATGATCAAATCTTTATTTATATAGCACCTTTCCTTCAAGCAGTTGTGATTTAAAGTGCTTTACAGACTGACACAGACAAAAGCCAATAACAGAATAAAAGAACCAAAAACAACAAGGTTAAAAAGAAAAATGTACAAGAACTGCCTTAATCTAAAAAAATTCAAATTTCAAATGAAGGCAAGGTGCCCCCAAACCTTTGACAGGCAGTGCTTGTAATATGCTTATGACAAAATGTGGTACGAAAACTAAAAACTCATACAGTAAAAACAGAGTCCGTGACCTAAGCAATGTAAGCGAATGTAAGTTCCGGTAGGCCTCACAGTCCCCGTCTCCATTACTGCTTGAATAGCGCAGCATGGGACTTACTTCATTACTACTTTGGCCGTAATGTGCCTGGGGGCTCTAAGGCCAGGGCCCAGTGTTCCCCTGAAAGTAGATCCCATTTCTGCTGTGCCTCCTCTCATGCAGCCCTCATTCATCAAGCCCGTTCTTCTCCGCACTGCTATCAGACCGGGGCAATGAGAGGCACCCCGACTACAGCACGTTAATGTCCTGATACATTAGCGAAAGTCTGTTCCCCGAAAAGGACTGTAATGGGGCGAAAGCAACGCGAGGACATTTAGAGCTAGATTGTTTGAGAAGACGTGAACAGAGATGCACCTGATAAAAGGGTATACTTGATTGGATGTGGGGGGAGGTACTTGGGGCCATGGCAGAACACTTCAAATGAAAATGGTATTTTGAACCAAAGATCGTTTCAGTCAAACAATGCTTTGGTTTGGGTTTGTATGGTGCGGCTTGTTGTACGGAACGATATTATTTGTTCTGAGACCTCCTCTCGACTGTAACTGGACCATCCGGTGTCACATGGTTGTCACTGCATGGAATCTACAGCAGTGTGGTGCAGTTCTTCACAAGTATGTTTACAACAATGGTAATTTGGCTTCGTTTAGTTTTTTCATCATTATAATGGCTGTTAATGAGATGAATATTTGAACAAATGCAGTGGGAGGATAACATATAAACATTTGATGGCAACATACCATCATCCAATCACGGACTCCCGGCCATCGTTGGCAGTAACCTGTTTCAGTATGGCAGGTTGTGTGGTAACACAACATTAACTACTGTGCCTATAGTTAATAAAAATGCTTTCTGATCAGAACGTTGTAAGCTAACTTGGTATTGGTAGTTTTTGTTATAGGTTTAATAAATTGAGTTTTAATAGCTTCTTGTCGAAATGATAAAATGGCTAAAGCTAAACCATGTGAAGTAGCCTAAATGCTACTGTCTTTTTTTGTTTTTAATAACCAATGTATTCACAACGTAAAAATCTTCACAAAAATCTTTAGTCAGCTCAAACCTACTCGGGTCTGCTCAAGCCTATTTGCGACATTTGCACAGCCGCAATCCTGACCTATTTTTAAAATTTTGACCATTTTCGGTATTGACTGTTTGGTGTATTGACCCTTAACTCTGCAGGTTGGTAGATTTCGAAGAGCAAAGTTGGGCAATTAATTACACATTAATTAATATATCAATATCAAATGTAATTCATACGTAACTACCACAGCATTACACGCCACTTGGCCTTCTGAGAGAATACAGGACTTATGTGTTTGTGGCATGCACCCATCCCCTGGGCCCCAGTGACGGCTGCGAGAGCTCGTCCTGCAGGATTGAACCTGAGGCAAATTAAAGTAGTGCCCAGGAGGCAGGGCTCACCATCCCCAACTCCTTCTGCCCCGCCTTCCTTCCAAGTCTCGCGACCGTCGTCGGGGCCCAGGTGAAAAGGGCGCATGCCACAGCGTTGAATAAAACTACAGCAGATGTTCCTAGTCCGTTTCTTGCGGACTCCTAGATAAGTCCAGATTTTGGTCATATTCTCACTCTGTTTATTCCAATCAGGTTACCAGAGTTGCAGAATTCTGTCTTACATCTGTGGAGCTGGACCAGAACTGAAATGTGGACTGGCTATTGAGGAAGAATTGCTCAGAAATGCTAATATAGCTAGTGAATCAAGGGATCAGTTAACTGGATCTCATGCTAACTGCCCCACTCAGGTATTCAGTATTAGCAAGCAAAATCACCGAGTTTTGAAAGCATTACCTTTAGGTGCAGGTAAGCACTTGGCCGTCATCCGGTTGAACTCGAGACCCTCTTCACACACACACAGGAAGGAGCCGGGCACATTCTCACACACTGCCTCACCGCAAACGTCGCTCAGGAGCTCGCACTCATTCAGGTCTGCAGGAACAAAGATGAAAGCATTTTGTCAGAAATTTAGATGATAAAATCTAATGTCTGAGAGAGCAAAAGCCGAGTGACTGGTGTCGGAGTGACAGAAAGCCAAAATCAAACTGGTTCTGTGGTGTTTGGGGCTGTAGTGTATTTGCTAAGCTAATGAGAGCTTAGTTATCAGGCTAAACATGCCTCCCACCACAGAGCAGGTTTGGTTACAGCTAACTGATGCTAAAATGACAGGGTTAGAAGATAACTGAGAGAGCACAGCGAAGTGACTGTGTTCTGTGGTGTTTTGGAGACTAGCATTTTGACTGGGCTAAAGAGAGAGTAGTTATAGCTGGTCAAATGTGCCACACAGCAGAGGTCCAGCTTCTGCTAAGTGATGCTAAAATGACACCCGTTTAGAGGATATCTGAGAGTGCTGGGTCAAGTGACTGGTGTTAGAGTGGAAGCCAAAATTGAACATGTTCTGTGGTGTGTACAGCTCTTAGCTGTCGCTGAGCCACTTTCATGCTTAGTTTCTCCTAGCTCTCATTTTTCCCCTCTTTCTATCAGTGCCATCTATCAGAGAGCTTCCGCACCATCAATCAGTGAGCGTCTCTAATAGAAATTTGGCACGTCATAATTTTAAAATACCATCATAATTTTACACACCAGCATCATTTTTAAAAAACACGGTACACCTTATTACCATAATATAGCCCAACCCTAGTAATGACATCAAACATAATGATATATGTCATGACAATTAACAGTTATGCTGCGTTCACAACAGACGGAGGCAAACCGGATATTTGATCGAGCCCCGACAAAAAAATTCTGCCACAACAGTAAGTTGTTGATGTTCTGCAAGAGTTCAATTTTCCCAACTTTTGACGTCGCAGTAATTGAATAACCCGTATGTTGATTCTTTGGGGAGCCATAGACGTCAAACATCTCATTGTTGTCCTCCTGCCTTTTTTTTTCCACCTTAAATAAACAACATACACCGCCAAAGCTCTCCTCTAATGATCATCCATTTTTGCCGACACCACGGTCACGGTTAAGTCAATGTTAAGTGTTTTTTTCCCTCTGATATGTGATCATTTCCTGCTGATATCGGCCCGAAAGGTGACACTTTAAATAGAGATTCCGACAACCTGAACTAAAGTAGAATCTGCCAGTACAAAAGGCACACAAATTAGAACCATCCCTAGCATTTGTCATTGGATTACATCTTGTCAAGTACTGTCTATCAATTTTTTTGCCTCTGGAGACAAATATATGTCTAAAAACTAGCACTGCAAATTACATTTGACACCTTTAGAAACTATGACAAAGACAAGTGTGAAAAGCTAGCACATGCTTCCTGTTATATAGCATCGCATTCTCCTAACCAGTCTTTGCTCCGTGCCTCTCTCTCTCTCTCTAATACAACTCGACCAAAACCTCTCTTTTCCTCTTCCCAATGCTGTCCACATCTGCAACTCTCATTCTGCCTGCCTTTATCAATCATCCCTGAGCATTCCCATACAAAAGCCTACGATAAATCAAGCCGTGAGGAGAGCTTTAATGTGAAATAGACTCCGCAGCGCCGGTGGAGCCGTCCAGTAAGGCAGACACGCACTCTCTATATGCATACACGCCCGGTCCCTCTCTATAAGGGTGGGCCAGCTTGTCAATGAGGCTGAAAGTGTTAAGGGGAGAACTGGAGCGTGTGTATGTATGTGTGTGTGTCTGGCTCTACGAGCGGCCTTGACTCTATTTCACATAAAGGCCCTCTCACCAGCATGGGTGCTCTGCAGTTAGGGAGCAGTAAAAGGCTAAAAAAGAACAGTCTGGGCCAAAAGAACAATGTAAAAGGCAGATACTGCCTCATAAGGTGTGATATATATACAGCAGGCCTTAGAAGGACGCCATAAAAGAGGATTTAAAGAAGGAAATTCCAACACTTTTTCAAAAATTCTGCATGGTTCAATGGCACAGGTATAAAAAAAAAGATATTCAGAGTGTTGTGGTGTGAAATGGTTCACTGCTGACTTCGATTTCTTTACAGTGGTGGTGATAGGAACCTATAGCTGCAACTCTTTGGCTCTCACTTGTTAAATTACCTTGTTTCTTTGTCTGTACATTGTGCATGATTCAATAAACCACGTTGAAAAATGTGACATAAACCTTAGAAATGGTCAACTGAAGCTCACTTAAAATGCTCACTTTTGTACAACCAGCATGACTAGCAAAATCCGGTGTATTTAAGGAATAAATGATTGGGTGTACATAAGCAATAAAAAACTCCTGAGTAGTGCAAATGTCATAAGTTACAGCGTTGTTTTACATCAGAAGGTAGGGTAAAGCAATTTTTATCAGTGTTTCTCAGTGATTTCAGTCCCGTCATAATGCACCACGGCAGCCATCTGTGCGTTCCTGCATCAGTAAAGGTGCCATCGCCTTTTACCTTCTATAAAACAAGCCATGGAGATAACCCCAGGTTATATTAATCCAGAGTGAATCAATAAAAAACGCTATCATAACCTGTGGAAAAGGAGTTTCTTAAGAATGGCGGCACTCAAAGAACCGTTTACTCATGTTCTCTGTAGCTAACATTAAGCTGATATGTAGTCCTACCTCAAGTCTACAGCTCAGAAGAATATTCGCTTTGATGCAGTGATGCTGTCGGTTAATTCGCAAGCTAATGAGACACCTACAGTCTTGACCAAGGACTCTTACTGGTGTAGTGGGGTACTGGTATATGCTTGTCCCAGCAGGGGATTGAACCCCAGCCTGCAGGGCCTAAGTGTTATCCACTACACTAGATCCTAAATTCCAGAGGTGTAGACTCGAGTCATATGACTTGAATTCGAGTCCAACTCGAGTCATGAATCTGATGACTCTAGACTTGACTCGAGAAAATCAAGAAAGACTTGGGATTCGACTTTGACTTCAACACCAGTGACTCGGACTCTGACTCAGACTTGGGTGTCATGACTCGGAAAGACTCGAGACTCAAAGTGGAAGAAACGTGCAGAGGCTGTAAACTTTGTTCAGCTCGGTCGGTTTTGGTTTCTGTTGTTGTCCGAATTCACTTCAAACTAGCGGTTGTTTTTAGTTGGCTGACCTATTTTTTATTTTAGTCCTGTGCGCCCAATGTTCCCAAAAATCATCAAAAATTAACTTCAAATATAACGTTTTTTTTAATGAAGTTCAATGAAGTTTTTAAAATTCCTTTCATGTGTAGTGCACTGCTCTTTGTGTACACAGTATGCCTGTCATGGTTATCTGTGTGCCATGGATTTAGTATTTTAGTTGGAAGGGTAAAAAATAAAATAAATAAATAAATAATTAATATACAGCCATAGACTGCTAACATGCTGCCCTTAAAAGGCTACAGTACTGTTACCATTTTCAGTGATATGGTTTTAAATTAGCTACTGAATGTATACTGACTTGTTCAGGACTCAAAGATTAGGACTACTGACTTGGGACTCAATTTGAGACTCGCCTGTACTGACTTGGGACTTGAATCGAGACTCGACTATCTTGACCTGTGATTTGAATCGAGACTCAACTATCTTGACTCAGGACTCGAGTGTGAAGACTTGAGACTTACTTGTTACTTGCAACTTAGTGACTTGTTGCCACCTCTGCTAAATTCTACAGGTTTTGACAGGCATGTAGGGACGAGGGTCGCTAAATGTCTACTACGGAAATATAGCCATACTCTTCCTAAAAGAATAAGGGGGGATCGGTGGGGGCGAGTTGGCTCATGGGGTTTTTATCAAATTCTACAGGTTTTCTATCCCCCACCTTTGTATTTCTGTTGAATGTATTGTATGTATATATATTGCTGATAATGGTAAAATCAGACTAAACGAAAAAATGAGTTTTCTTTGGGAACTGTTTTGCCTTACAACACCCTGCATGTACCGCTCCACCATGCACAGACCCAAAAAAAAGGTTGTAAGCCAAAACGTCTCTCAAAACTATTGTAAAACAAAATCACGAGCATGAGGCAGTGTATTCATAACCATTTTGTGTAATAACTTCCATCAAGACATTCAATACTGCATTTTCACCACCACTGTGAAAAATTCCAACTTCCAGTTTCTCTAGAATGGAGCATTTCACACCAAACCTCTCTGAACGACATCTTAACCATTAAATTATAAGTAAAATTTCCCATTAAAGGGCAAACAGTTCAAAAGATCCACTCACAGCCTGTTGTCTATTGTTTAATGCTTTCTTCCATACTATAAAGCGAACTGAACTCATTAATGGCCTTAACCTCTTCATTTCTCCCCTCTCAATAAGCCAGACCCTAGAATAGTGGAAAGTAAAAATATCTGGAAGCAGGAGAGCTGCTGCTCTCAGATTCCAGGAGGAAAGGAGGAGGAAGAGAGGAGAGACGTGAAATTATAGTAGAACTAATGGAGCTGATTTTGCTGGGCATATAGTATTCATTCATAGTCGAGTATTCTGTCTAAAGTGTAGCTCCAGGCTTGAGCTTTTCCTCTGTCTGAGTAACCAGAGAAGGAGCGGAAGAATGGAGGGAGAGCTGGAAATAGAGAGAGACAGAGAGAGACTGAAAGGTAGAAAGGCTCTTAACATTTACTGTTTACTATTTTAAATGGCCAGCAGGTCCAAACCTTTATGGTGTAATTCTATAGCCTAAGAATAAGACTTAGGGTTTTAAGGGGTTAAATGTTTAACGCAGAACTGCCCAAAGCATGGCCTGCAGGCCAAAGTTGGCCCAGGGTAACACCAGAATGTGACCCTAATCCCACCCCCTAAACCAAACATATTTTTATACAATATATAATTAATTGCATTTTCATTTTCTTTCTAAAATTGTATGTTATTGTATTTTAGTAACAAAATATAGTGTAAAGTCCTAAAATACATTTTTAAAAACCTACCTTATTTATTTGTAAACTGTTTTGTCTTTTAGGCCCTTGGCCCACCGCAAACACTGCACTTTGGCCCCTCGCAATGCGAAAAGTGTGAAAAATTGTGAGAAGTGATCAAAG